CACCCGTCCGCACCCGTCCGAAGCCGTTCCGAGCATGCTCCGACCAAACGCCGCGAACAAGCTAGATTTCGGCTCGTAGAGAGTCACACTTTTTCACGATTTCTATTCCCCCACCACACGCGCGCGCACATTTTCTCGTGCGTGCTTATATTATTCTCTTGACTTCCCTCTGATCCCTCTGAGAGCTAGCTTTCATTTAGTTCTCGTAACACGGAAGTTCCTTCTAAACTTCCTTTGAGAACTACATGTTGTTCAAACAATCAAGGTTTGACACGCTCATGAAGTTACCCTCCTCCGGTCTGTTTTTTTTAATTGTTTGCTGGGCCTTGTCGGCAATGGGGTGTATTCATCAGCGGCAAACACTAGCGATGATGACATGTGATTGCTGCTTTTTGGGCAGTAAACCTGCCTAGAAGACTCACACTGGAACATATTGGACTGGCACGCCGAGCCACGATGCCAAGGGTTGGCGGCACTCACATGAAACATGGGCTTCACCGTTGTTCTGTCACTGCGCATCCTCTGGTTGCAGTAGTTGGATTTAGTGACACCCTGGTTGCAGTAAGTCGGCCAAACGGTAGGATACAAGCAACATTGGCCCCTTCTACATTGAAAGGCCTATTGTCTAGGGTCAAAGCATCAGATTTCGCCGAAACTGGCCTTCCAACACAAACTTGAGTGCCGCACGTCCCTTTCACTCACATGATGTGCTTGGCGCCCGCGCCATAACAGCCTGGCTTCCAGTCAAGAATCATCCAGAAGGCCTCAGCTTGGCACCAAGCCACAATTGCGAGAGAGTCTGTGGGGGTGGCCCTACTGTGGATTCAGTGGATGGATGAAATGCGTTCCCACCACTTGTGGTTGCAACCATTGGTTTTTGGCAGGTATCATCATTCCGATTCTTTGCAGGACTTTGTCCAGCCACAGTATGGTGTCACTGTGAAACAAACACAGCGGCACTGTGACATGCCATGTGTGGCTCCCGTTGACAAGCTGCATCGGCTCTGGGAGATGGAATTGCGCCACTTTCAATAGTCGGGCGCCTCTGCCAATGTCAGGCTAAGCTAGCACTGATGCGAGTAGAAGCATGCCCAATGGTCCTGTGAAAAGTCCATGTCTGTAGGGATTGCGGCTAGTCGCGTCAAGCAACACGCGCAAACACACACATGCACAAATAGGCACGCAAAACATGACCGAAAACATCCACAGGGCCAGTGTCGTGTGACTAGACTCGGCCATGTTGAACATACCCGTCAACCTTGTAAACAAAATGTCCAAGGCTTGGACAGCCGCTTGCTAGCAAAGAAGACATACGCTACGTCTACAAACAGTGGAAGCTGGCATATCATTCAATGACAGATTGTCAGCCTGTCCAGCAGCTTAAACATATATATATATATATATGTTGGACATATATTCACTGTCATTGGGCAATTTGCCACGGCACTCAATAACAGCAAGTCCTCCTAAAACACAGGCGCATTTGCAACAAACACGCCAAATCCGTGCCAAGCACTTTCCGTTAAAACATACTCACTGCGCTTTGCAAAAGCTCTAAAATCAAAACCAGATTGCTTGAGTGCCTTCACTCCGCTCTGCGCAACTTCGTCGGACATGGATGCACAGCATTTCTACAATATTTTGCCATTGTGGCATGTTGAGTCGATGAGCCCTTTGCAGTTCTTATACGCAGATGTTTTCAGATTATGCAGATTTTCCTCTGCTTGGACTGCTCCGAGGGGCACAGGACAAAGGGCCACTGCGCCGCCCGCTCACAGGCTTTGATGTACAGCCGCAAAGGTAAACTTGTCCTGGCAGGGTCGGGTTGCAAGCAAAACCCGAAATGCCCCCCAAAAACAAACTGTGCCGATTTTCACGGGAGCGGATGCTTCCTTTGGCCGGGGAATCTGTACATCTGTCTTTTTAATAGCCCACAGGATGGAAATGGCCTACAGAATCGGAATGTTTCATCAAAACTGCTCTAGCGTGCGCGTGTGTGTTTTCGTGCGTGTGTGTGCGTGTGTTTGCGTTCATTTTGCGAAAATTTGTTTGGTTGCAAATACTTTTGTGATTTGGCATTTACTGGTCCTTCTTGAAAAAAGAAAGCGTCAGCCAAAGGCCTGAGGACGGCATTTTTTTGAAGAAACCGACTGGTGTGCCAATCCAGGAGGGGGCAAGTTTGCGGGGCCAGCTTTCCCCTCTTGGAAAAGCAGTCCCACTGATGAATGTCCTGAGAACTTCAACTGAAACATGTGGATTTTTTGTTTGATGGCCGGCCGAACAAGTTTTTGGTTGGTGTGCTCTAGGCGTATACGCTGCATGCGTGCTTACGGGAGTGCATCTTACACGAGTTTGTTTGCATTTACCCGCAAGGATCCCTACGCAAGCCACTATTCGACCTCGAGCGTTGCCTGACGAGCCATTCATGTTTCTCACTGGCTGACACGCAGCGTCGCAAATCAAATTAGCTACCATACAGCCACTGTCGCTCATGTAGCCTCAACCACTGGAACACGTGGAAGCTTCCGGCCATGCAAAACCCTATGGTGTATTATCACAGGCTTGCCTGCGTGAGTGCCTCAAGACGCACAATGATATACGCGAATTGCCTTCGGAGGCCCACCGGCTACTTGGCTCTAGGCCGTCGAAAGCCAGCGAGCCCAACTGCGTGCTCGTGGGTGCACGCAGGATGTGCTCCTCGTGAGGTCTCGTGAGCTCATAAACCGGCTCCAGAATTGAAATGCCCGAAATACAAGGCACAGATTTGTGACGCTCGCACTATGTTTTGACCGCGGACTGGCTTGGAAGGGAAAAGCAAATCATCAGGCTGACCAAACCGCCCACACCGAGTGTTTCAGGCCCCGGTTTGCTCCTTCCGAACTGCCAAGCGGTCCATCTCCCCAAAGAGCCCGAAGCACTTTGGGAGCTGCGACGCCCTGCAAGAGACGCTGGCAAAACGCAGCTCTGACGACGGCAGTTTTTGCGGCTGTGGGTCAAAATAGGTACCCAACATGGAACCCTGGCAAACGGAATGGACCAAAAGCTGCGGTCCCCTGGTGGTTTAGCTTTGATCCATGCCATACCCACGATTTTCCAAGGTGACATGCGTAGTGTTAAACAGGCCAAAGCGAGTAGTCAGTGGCGTGAGAAGGCTCGTTCGAAGTAAGTTGAAGTGGCCGTGGGTCAACACCAATGGGATCCCATTTTGGGGTAGGTGCACCACCCTATTCTAGTGGGGCTTGGGATGTTCGCTGGAGGTACGATTTGGGCTTTGACCCATAGCCAAGTGAGTCATAATCAAACCCGATCCGTATTCAGATGGCCGACCCCCAGAACCAGGAACTAAAAAGGCGGCGAAGGCAGCCAATGCTTGGGATCCTCCTGCCTTCCATGTGGTGATTGTGGCTCAGGTGAAGAAAACTTGATGGGGCCTGGCACTTAGGGAGGCAGTGAGGCAACATCTTCCAACAAAAGCAGATCAGCACGGAATGCGGGCCTAGCGAGCTTACCCATTCAGTAAACGCACAACGGGAGGTCCGAAAAGTTATTCCCAAGCGATGTCATAGTAGCCATGTTGGGAAAGGGACCCGCTGATGCACGAAGCGACGTTCTGAGATGCGCAACTGCTGTAACCCAAGACTGAACCCTATAATGCGACATCCCAGGAAAATGGAGCCACTGGCACAGCTAGCAAAACCCGGGCGGCGGTGAGATACAAAGGATTCGTCAAAGGATGGTTTCTCATGTTTCTCTTTGAATTGGAACTGATTGGACCAACACCTCAGAACAAAGATCCCGTGGTCAGTGCCAACCAGTACAGAACTAGGAATCCAAAGCCCGACACTCAAGGCATTGGCAAACTCAAGGAACCTAACGATTTTTAATTACTTGTTACGAAAGGAGGCAGTGTGGTTCTTCCCACCCCCCCCTTCGCAAAGCCTTTAGTATCATTGTGGCATGCATGCACAACCTGCAGAACCAACATTCGCACATGGAACAGACCAGTGCTTCCAAGTTCTCAGCAGCCATGACAGTCACTGCGGTGATTCAACAAGTAAATAAAGGCTCTGCTGCGAGCTTGAGCAGCAGTGGTCTACAGTTTGCTTGCCACTCAAGAAAATGATGACCAAAGGCCCAATTAAACCTTTGCATGAAGTTCTAAAACACAACGCGCACTTGCACGGAAGATGCCCAACAATTGACACCTCCCGCGCAAACATCAAAGCAGTCCGGTACAAAGCTGGCGCCGCTCCCATACGAGCCCCGATGCTTACGGGTGTCGAGCTCTCCCGCCCATACCAACCACAAACAGCAGCATGCAGCGCCGCTTTGCCTTTTGACCGCGCCAGTGTTGCATCGTTGAGTGCTGGCCTTCCCTCCTGGGCCCGGCCTATGCCTTGAGTGGTGTGAGACATCTGATGCCCTACATCCCCCCAAACCCAAGCGCTACATATAATTTTGATCCGTTGTCCCGACCCAGCGAACAGCTTGAAGGGGTTGCCCTAAGCGAAGGTTGCACATATCTGGGTCACGCTCTCTTTGCCTCCCATGCCTAACGGCCTCAAAGAAACATTCAAGCAAGATTTCTTTTGCAACGCAGCGTGGCAATTGTTGCAACCATGCTGGGCGCGGTTTAGCACCCGAATCGCAATACTCCCACATATTCCCACAGCTATAAATGTCGCACAAGGGCCTAGAGCAGTCAAGAGCATCGCAGGCTGACAGGCGTCAATCATGATGGACAAGCCAACAGGTGGAATGGGATTAATTGTTTGCTGCGGCTGTTCAATTTTGCATCCCTTGCCTAGGCCCAGGGGGTCTCGATAAGTCGCTCGCGCCTTAGTTCATCATATCATGCAGCGCACCACGGACTGCATGCTTCCGGCCAGTGCGCTCGAGTTTGTCTTAGTAACACGTTCCAAACACGCATAGCATCATTCAACAACCATCTCTTGGGATCTGTCCATGGAGCATCTGCTGCCATCTTTGGGAAACTCGGATCACATGGGAGCCTTGGGCATCGCCCCACCAGGCCCCATGGGCATGCCTTTGGCCGCCGCGCCGCATCCCATGGGCATCCCGCCCGGGCCGCCCGGGCCCATTCCCGGCATCCCCATGCCCGGCATACCCATGGGCATGCCGGGCATTTGTGGCATGCCCATCTTGGGGTAGCCCCCAGGCATTCCTGGTCCCGTGGGGCCCCCCATCGGCATGCCCTGCGCCTTGCCAGGCATTGCGCCGGGCACCGTGAGCCCCGGGAGGTTGGGCAAAGAGGGCATGCCCGGGATCCCCATCCCAGGCATCCCGCCCGGCATGCTCATGGGCATTCCGGGCATGCCTGGCATGCCCGGCATCTTGGCTGTGGCCATGCCAGGCGCTGTCATGCCGGGCATGGACGGCAGGTTGGGCAGCTTGGGCAAATCTGGCAGTGCCGCCGCGGCCTTGCCGGGCGCGGGCTGTGGCTCCGGCTTCTTCTCCGCCGGGGGCGGCTTGGGGCGCTTCGGCATCACCGTGTGGTCCCGGCGGAACCTGCTGCCTGCGCGCTTGCGCTGGGACAAAACCAGGGTCACGCCATTCTGCAGGTTGTAGAAGGCAAAGGTGAAGCGCTCCTTAAGGAAGCCCACAGGCTCCGTGTGCAGCCTCAGATCGTGACAACTAGGGATCTGAATCACCATGAAGTGCTTCAATTAGGTGCACTTCATGCTCTGGATTTCCCTACTGAAGCACAAAGCAGGGCTCATGCCTCAATATAGCCTGCTTGACACAAGACTCAAGGAACCTCGCAATTTCTGAAACAGGGAACGCGCCCTCTAAGAACATTACCCTAACATGGAACCTGAGGTTCGGAGGGTCCTGCAAGACCCATCCCCCTCTCCCCGGAAAGAACCAAAATAAAATAAGCACAACAAAAACACACCCCCTCCCCCCAAAAAAAACAAAATAGCAAGAAGAGCAAACCTCCCCCAAGCTCCATTTCCCCAATTATCCCCTATCCCCTATCCCCAACCATCTCCCAAACCGCCATGAAAAATACACAAATCAACCTCCATGTCCCCAACTATTCACCAACCGTCCCCAACCATCCCCCAAACCGCCATCAAAAAAAAAAAAAAACTCCCCAAACGAAGCCATGAAAAACAAACATTCTCCCCAAACGACACCATTTAAAAAGAAAAAAACACCTCCCCAAACCGCCATGAAAAAAACATGGCTAAATCTCCCCAAGATGAAATAACAAACTCAAAGTCTCCCCAAACCGACGGGCCGTGGGGCTTCATGCGGTTGGCTGGGATGGAGCGCACGCCCATGGCCACCAGCTTCGCCTTCACCGCGGCGCAGGTCTCCGTGAGCGGCAGCTCCACCGTGACGTTGCTCCTCGGACGGGATGGACGGGGACGGGGAGAAGGACGGGGGAAGCAGAGGGCGAAGGATTTGGGTCTCGCCATTTTAGTTCCTTGTATATCTTACGGCCTTGCGCTGGTGAAATTATCAGACCTGCGCCGAGTCCCCCGATGCTGTTGATTCGTGCGGGGAACCTGGGCCGAGTTGCTCACCGAGTTGGGCAACGAAACACTTGACCAAATGTGGCGTGCCAGAGTCCAAGGTCAGCTTGGATAGCAAGGATAAACGTTCTAAAGGATCTGGGTGAATTAAAACATATTTCACTAACCTGAAATAAGGTGATTGGGGGGGCTATTCCCCACAGAAACCACCACTTGGGGTGAATTCGGTCGTGTGTCGTTGTAATTCATCCAGTTCGGATGCCCAAAATTAGGACAAAGGCGATGGACAGGGAATAGTCTGCCAAGACCAGTGCCCCTTGTTCCATGACCCTTTGGAAAACAAATTTGGTTGCCGGAACACGGGGATGGTTGCCGGGCGTGGCCCTTGCACGCGCGTCAGAGAGGCAAAATGGAGAAAAAAAATACGGGGCTGGGAGCCTCCTGAAAGGAGAAAGGTGTCCTGAAACAAGTGGCTTCCTTCTTGTACTAATACTGTGGATGGACGAAATCCATTTCGCACCACTTTGAAACCATGGGAGAAGCCATTATTTGTTGGCATTTACAGGGGGAATCATCCTTCCAGGCTTTCTTAGGTGGTGCAGGATTTCGTCCATCCACAGTAGTATTTCCAACACTGGAAGTGGGCCTGTGAGCTTTTCAAAGAGGCTAGTCTTCGAAACTCCGACATCCACTTCCATGGCGATGCAACGACCTCGCCCCACACTCCATTTTTGTCTCAAGGATGTCTGCAAGCTGGTCACTCTCAAGATCCCATTCATGGGAATCCTGTTGGGGATTTCAGGCTGTCCCCCAATTTGAGGACAAGCCGCAAGTTGCTTCCACGCTGTGTTGCATTCATTTACCTTTTTTATTCTGATATTGCAATGGTTTGCCGAATCGGTGCACCCAGAAGCGCCCACAATTGTTGCAATGCCGTGCTAAAGAGGCAGGTGATCACGTGTTGCATCATGTCTGCCATGCCTACACACGCAAATCCAGCTTGTACTCTTCTGGGAGGCTCCCATTGGTATTACTCTTTGAAGGTGGGTGCGTGTATGCCATATTGATGGCATTGCAGTATGGTTTCGCATTTGGTTCGGGAACGGCTAGGTTAAAACGAAAGTCACCACACGTGAGATGGCGTTTGGCCCCAGTAACCACCCTGAGGGCAAGGAAGATGCCTCTCTAAGAGATGACGCTAAAACCACGACTAACATGTTCTGCTGCTGATTTAGTGTTCCGGTTGGCCGTTGTCTTCCTCTCTAAAGTCAAGCTGAGGAAACCCAAAGCAACTTTCGCTCCCAATCCGCAACTTTCTAAGAGAGATGTTCCCGATTTCTTCCATTCTAACAGGGTCAAGCAAAGAACACTCGCATTCCATCAGCTATGAGCCTGTTCAACCTGCTGCTGAGAGTCATGCCAAGCTCGCTCTCCACCACAGAGACATCCACATTGATCTTAATGGGCGAGTCGCCCTTTGCATCCAGCCAGTCCTGCAGGTCATGTCACTCATGTCCCCTTGGGATTGATGACTGCCACGGATTTCCTGAGGCCAAAGCTGGCACAATGTGGCCGGACTGCGTGCTTCCGCTAGTGTCAAAAAGGATCAAACAGGTAAACATGGACAGGTTGCTTACATGTGGCAACCGGCCCGTAAGCCCAATGCGAGTGAACAACAGGACATGAGAACCAGTTTGACCTTCATGCCCGCGAAGCTTCTAGGCAGGGGACCTCCCAAGCTATGCCAGCTATGATGCATCGGGCATTCGAGCGGCCAAAAGTCCGCAGAATCAACCTCACAGAACCCCAAGCGGCCCGCACTTGCTCATCAATCATACTGCCCCCCCCCTCAGTACTATCTGCCGCCTTTCCGTATCACCCCCAGCGACAGTCACACTCAAATGACTCAACATCTCAAGTCAAAACATCCCACATCTCTCTCACTCATCCTAATGACCCCCTGGTACTAGCCCCCTGCTAGGCAACACCCCCCCCATTGGCCGCACAGGTTTATTGTCCCGAGTCAACGTTGTGTGGCTGTGGCTCACAAAATTGTACCAACATGACAACTTGGCAAATGGAAGCAAACACTACAACCTGCGGTTTGCCCCCAGGTCTTGAAGTTTGAACCTACGTCTTGTGTTTTTCTCCTAGACCCCCCAACAAATCCAGGTCAACGCCGTGTTTTTCTTTTGGGGTTGAATTGGGTCGCGTGAGATTGTTGTTTTTCATCCCAAGTCGTTGTGTGTGTGGCTTTTTTCCTCTCTCAAGACCCCCCAACAAATCCAGGAGTAAACCCAGTGTTTTTCTTTTGGGGTAGGAGGAAAAGGGCACCAACTGCTGGACCCGGAAAAAGGACACGGCACCAATTGCTGGGGGAGCTAGGAGGGGTCGCGTCAGATTGGTGGTTTTCATCCCATGTCCCCCCAACAAATCCAGGAGTAAACCCGTGTTTTTCCTTTTTTGGGGGTTGAATTCCTGCTCGCTTTTTTGTTCTTTTTTTCCTGTAGTCTATTTTAGTAGGGGGTTCACCCTCCCCCAAAAAAAGGAACGGAAAAAAGAGAAAGAAAGGGCACCAATTGCTGGGGGACCTAGGAGGGGTCGCGTGAGATTGCTGTTTTCCATCCCAAGTCGTTGTGTGTGTGTGTGTGGCTTTTTTCCACTCTCAAGACCCCAACGAGTAATCCCTGTGTTTTTCTTTTGGGGTAGGAGGGAAAGGGCACCAGTTGCTGGACCCGGAAACAAGAGAAAGAAACGGCGCCAATTGCTGGGGGACCTACTGTGGATGGACGAAATCCATTTCGCACCACTTTGGAACAATGAAAGGCCATTCTTTGTTGGCATTCACAGGGAAATCGTCCATTTCTAGGGTTTCTTAGGTGGTTTCTTAGGTGGATTCCGCAAGCATCCACAGGGACCCTGCGTCGATGGCGCCTGCTCGCTCTTCAGGTCGATCAGCTTCTGCTTGGGCGTGGCCATGGCCACCAGGGCCGTTCGCCAGGGGTCGATGGCCCCCAGGCCCCGGGCGTCCAGGCACCCCGTCTTCGCCTTGTCACCTGGCGGGTGGTCAAAACCGTCCGGTTGGGGATGCGAGTTTGGAACCGTTCGGTGGGGGAAATCCGTTTTTTTTGGTTGGGTTCCGGGTTTTTGGAGCCACAGCCAGGTGGTAAAACCGCATTTTGCATATATGTTTGCCTCATGTTGGTGGGATTGGGTGAATTCACCACCCTTTCTGGAACCTGTTTTAGTGGGGATTGGGATGCTCACTGGGGGTACGATGTTTGGATTTTGACCCATGGCCACCTGCAGCCCCGGCCTCTTTTTTCCTGGCAAACAAAAGGGGCGCTGGGCAAAGAGAAGCTACCCTCTATCCAAGTTTTTGTGGGCAAAAAAAACGGGGTTGGCAAAAAAAACAAGGCGCTGGGCAAAGAGAAGCTACCCTCTATCCAAGTTTTTGTGGGCAAAACAAACGGGGTTGGCAAAAAAAAACGAGGCGCTGGGCAAAGAGAAGCTACCCTCTATCCAAGTTTTTGTGGGCAAAAAAAACGGGGTTGGCAAAAAAAAACGAGGCGCTGGGCAAAGAGAAGCTACCCTCTATCCAAGTTGTTGTGGGCAAAAAAAAACGGGGTTGGCAAAAAGAACGAGGCGCTGGGCAAAGAGAAGCTACCCTCTATCCAAGTTTTTGTGGGCAAAAAAAGACGGGGTTGGCAAAAACAAAACGAGGCGCTGGGCAAAGAGAAGCTACCCTCTATCCAAGTTTTTGTGGGCAAAAAAAAACGGGGTTGGCAAAAAAAAACACGAGGCGCTGGGCAAAGAGACGCTACCCTCTATCCAAGTTTGTGTGGGCAAACAAAACGGGGTTGGCAAAAAAACGAGGCGCTGGGCAAAGAGAAGCTACCCTCTATCCAAGTTTTTGTGGGCAAAAAAAAACGGGGTTGGCAAAAAAAAAACCGAGGCGCTGGGCAAAGAGAAGCTACCCTCTATCCAAGTTTTTGTGGGCAAAAAAAAACGGGGTTGGCAAAAAAAACGAGGCGCTGGGCAAAGAGAAGCTACCCTCTATCCAAGTTTTTGTGGGCAAAAAAAAACGGGGTTGGCAAAAAACGAGGCGCTGGGCAAAGAGAAGCTACCCTCTATCCAAGTTTTTGTGGGCAAAAAAAAACGGGGTTGGCAAAAAAAACGAGGCGCTGGGCAAAGAGAAGCTACCCTCTATCCAAGTTTTTGTGGGCAAAAAAAAACGGGGTTGGCAAAAAAAACAAGGCGCTGGGCAAAGAGAAGCAATTTTTTTTGTGGGCAAAAAAGAACGGGGTTGGCAAAAAAAAACGAGGCGCTGGGCAAAGAGAAGCTACCCTCTATCCAAGTTTTTGTGGGCAAAAAAAAACGGGGTTGGCAAAAAAAACGAGGCGCTGGGCAAAGAGAAGCTACCCTCTATCCAAGTTTTTGTGGGCAAAAAAAACGGGGTTGGCAAAAAAAAACAAGGCGCTGGGCAAAGAGAAGCTACCCTCTATCCAAGTTTTTGTGGGCAGAAAAGAACGGGGTTGGCAAAAAAAAAAACGAGGCGCTGCGCAAAGAGAAGCTACCCTCTATCCAAGTTTTTGTGGGCAAAAAAAAACGGGGTTGGCAAAAAAAAAAACGAGGCGCTGGGCAAAGAGAAGCTACCCTCTATCCAAGTTTTTGTGGGCAAAAAAAAACGGGGTTGGCAAAAAAAAACGAGGCGCTGGGCAAAGAGAAGCTACCCTCTATCCAAGTTTTTGTGGGCAAAAAAAAAAACGGGGTTGGCAAAAAAAAAACGAGGCGCTGGGCAAAGAGAAGCTACCCTCTATCCAAGTTTTTGTGGGCAAAAAAAAACGGGGTTGGCAAAAAAAAAACGAGGCGCTGGGCAAAGAGAAGCTACCCGCTGTTCAGTGGTGGAAGTGGACAAGGGGCTTCCTCAAAGGAAGTAGTCTTCCAATCCAACAATCATGGAAGTGGACTTCCTCAAAGGGAAAGTAGTCTTCCAAAACTGTCAGCTTTCATGATTGCTGGGAGGGCAATCTGCTGCCATCTGCACCGATCGCCCTAATTCCAATGGATTTTTGCAGTTTTTGCTGTTAAGCTCTGTTGGGCTCCGGACTCAAGCCTGGCTTCAGGACCTGCACTCTAACAGGGATCCTTGCAGTATACACCTGAACATTGCCTTGTAAATGGTGGTTTCCCTTTATATTGGCGGAAAAAAAACCAACATATTTCAACTGGGCAAAATGTATCTTTTAAGGAGCCCTGTCTAAGGGTTTTGTATTACAGCCTGGGAATACACCCACTGGGTATTGACCCATTTAGGCACATGTCCAAATGAAACCGTGTTATTGTTGAACCATTCTGGGTCATTTCCAAGGGTGTAATCCCAGGGTGTAATACAAAAACCCTCAGATGCACCCGCTGCTTGGCATCTGCGAAAGCGTGCCCCCCTCTAATTCTCTAAATGCACTCGTCGGCTTGCTCAAAACATCCCCCGCATCATGATGGCTGGAGCCACTAAAATTAGCAGGCGGTCTTCTTGATGGGAGTCAACTCTTTTTTTTGCAGGTGGGTACTGCCTCCCTGGCAACGCGCATCTTATAGCCAGGCGGCAAGTTGCAATCAGGAAGCCGCTCTTTGAGCGCGCATTCGCTACCTCAGCCAATGCCAGGAACTCAGCACTCTCAGGAATCAGCCTTCCTCTGTTTCAGGGAACCCTTAAGCTGAAAAGCAGTGGCGCTGAAAGGCAGTGGCCTTTGTTCAAATACGCCTTGCACACCAGGAGTTGGACAAATGCCCCAATGAGCACACAGCCATGTGATACCTTTGCCATGGTTATTGGCCCTGGTTCGCTAAGGCAAGGTTGCTGCGTGGTAACCGTCGAATGCATTCTTCTCCTCTTCCCACTGGGTGCCATAGGTGTCCTTTTAGAGGAAATAGATGGGTTTCCCTGGTAGATGAGAAAAAACCACCAGGTAAACCAGGAATCGCCCTATTTGTTTTGACCAAAACAACCAAAAAGGACACCTTCCCACTGGGTGCCCCAGGCATAAATACGCTCCGTCTCCATATGGTTCAGCACGCGGGATTGGAGATTCTCATTCAAGGACGCGAAAACGGTGATGGCGCCTCAGTCGCCCATCTTGCACCCCGCTGCCTTGGAAGGCACACCTGAGAACTTCCCCTTCAAAAGGCACCGCGACCCGAATCGCCTGAAGTTTTCCTCTATGCAAATCCCGGATTCAATCCGTGACATCACCCTGAAATCCAAACATGTGAAATCAAGGCCGCCGCCTTACAGGCAGGATGCCACTTCTCAGCGGCCGAATTCGAGCGGAGCGCAAAAAAAATCCTCTCTCTCGGTCCGCCACGCCATCTCAGTGGAGTGGCCCAAAAAAAGTAACCAAACTTTTGATTTGCTCATATGGCTGTGGTTGTCAAAACCGTTTTGGTACCATTCTGGGGTGAATTCACCACCCATTTTAGAACCTATTTTAGTAAGGAGTGGGATGTTCACTGTTTGACCCATGGCTATATAATATGGCCTTTCCTTAAAAAGTGAAGTTCAGGAACTCAGGGAGTGAGAAGCCCTGAGCAGGTTCTCCCTCTCCTTCTCTCTCTCGTGGCGTCGAAGTGGTTGCAACGAGCTCTATGGGGAACTTCCCCAAAGCCGAGCGCCCGGCGAAGATCCAAATCCCCCTCTTTCAGCAAGCCTTCCTCAAAGAGCTTCTCCAGGCCTTGTAGACAAAAGCGGCTGCATGAGCACCCCGGATTTAATAACCCCCTGGTGGATTAATAGGGGGGGTGTCCCTGGTTTTGGTGGGGGTTGTTCACTTTTGGAGGGAAAAAACACCCCAATTCATAAACTGGGGTTGATTAATAGGGGGTCAACATTAGGGTGCGAGTCAGGCGTCAGGCTTAGTTCGCCTTCTGCACCCTGACTGGCATCAACTACTTGTTCAAGCCTTCCTGGGATTTCCAAATCAGAAGTGGACAATTTACAAAGCGATCTTGCTTGATTTGGCCAACGGCAACAACAGCACAAATGTCACATAGCCCATGATTATGGCTGGCGGAAATCTCAGCTGGGCCTTGTTGGTCCATGCATACCCCTCGTCTTCCCCTGTAACGCCCCCCCATCTGCAAAAAGTGAATAACTTGTTGGGGGTTCCATTCAAAAACCAACTTGATGTCAACCAAAAGTTCAAGTCTAAAGATCCGTTACCCAGAGTTTCAATTGGACAAACCCGTGATTTCCCCAAAACTGAAAAGTCTAAAGGTCCGTTGCCCAATCGCACCTAGGTCCTCCAGTAGAGAGGTTAGAATAAGGGTACTTGTTTTTCCTTTTTGTTTTTTTCGGTGGTCTACTTTAGTAGGGGACCCCTCCCCCAAAAAAGAAACGGAAAAAGAGAAAGGGCACCCATTGCTGGGGGACCTAGGCAACCAATCTGCAAGCTTTGACTGCTCAGCTTCTGGGCGCCGCTGGGAGCGGTCACGCGGTCACCGCTCTGGGCCCCTTGAAGCCCCGTTTCGGCTTTCGGCCAAGCCACGCTCGCGGATGTCCGGAGGAAGCTGCTTGATGGCCACCGCCACGATCTCCTGCTCACCTCGAGCCACGCGGAGATTTTCCGAGGAAAATGGGTCTGCCATTCTCACCTGTGCCCCTCTGAGGGGTGTGCCAATGCGGGACATGGGGTTAGGGTTTAGGGTTTTGGGGACCATGAAGCCTAAACCCTAGCCTTAAAACCCTAAACCCGAAACCTGGGTGTGCCCCAAAAGGAGTTTGTCAGAAATCATGGTTGTGTTGGGTTCCATGTGAATCTGCAGACGGGTAGCGGAGAACCTCATAGGGGGCCCCTGGTGCCTTACACTTTCCATGGAGACTTGGCTCTGCATAGTCCCACAATGTGAAATCAAATCTCGCTGGACACACACTATTTGTTTCATTCCGCATGAAGGGGTGCATCAATGAGAATGAACTCAATTCCTGTGTGGATTCGCCCAAAACACGTCCCAGCTGCTCATCTACTAGCATGGTCCAAACCCGAAAAGTTGAAAGTCTAGCAACTCGAGTGAGTGAATGCACAAACGATTCAAAAGGGATCCTTACATTATACACCTGAACATTGCCTTGTAAATGGTGGTTTTCTTTCATTTTGTTGGAAAAGGCCATGTTTCAAATTGCAAGATGTATCTTTTAAGGAGCCCTGTTCAAATGCATGTATTTCCCAACATGCAGCCGCAATGATCAACGGGGCGTTGAGTGCGACGCAAGAAACGGATCAAGTTGACCCCTGCAGGCT